TCCAGCCCCGCCGCCGGCGGGGAAGGGGAGCAGGAGGAGGAAGAGGAAGGCGGCGCGAAGCGGAGCGGCCGGCCCGGCGGCAGCCGCAACGGGAGCGGGGACTGGGGTGGGGGGGCGGGCTGCGCCAAGCCCCGCAACTTCCTCTACGTGGGGGTGATGACGGCCCAGAAGTACCTGGGCAGCCGGGCGGTGGCGGCGCAGCGGACGTGGGCGTCCTCGGTGCCGGGCCGCGTGGAGTTCTTCTCCAGCCAGGGCTCCGCCGCGCCCCCCGGGCTGCCCCCTCTGCCCGTCGTCGCCCTGCCCGGCGTGGACGACTCCTACCCGCCGCAGAAGAAGTCCTTCATGATGATCAAGTACATGTACGACCACTACCTGGACAAGTACGAGTGGTTCATGCGGGCGGACGACGACGTCTACATTAAAGGTGATACGGGCTCGTCTCGCCGGTGGAAGGGAGGGGAGCGGAGACCCGGGGTCCCGGCGGCGTCCCGCGGGGGGTGCGAGGAGGCTTGGTTCCCGCCCCAGGGGGGAGCGCAAGGGGTACCGCGACCCACTTTGCTTCCAGCCCCCGAGAGCGGGGCGTGGGGGGCGTCCCGGCGCCGAGGTCCCGGTGGAGACCCCGAGGTGCCCCCCGCGGGGCCTGGCCGGGCCGCTCCTCGGGAGGCCGCTTCGCCGCGGCGCGTTGCAGGGCTAATGCGGCGGGCTGGACGGTGGCAAGCCCGGTGAGCGGTCCCTGCGTGAGCGTTGGGTCCCTGTGCTGCGGCCCCGTCCCGCCCGCGGGCTTCGACTCGGCACTCCTCGGCAATGGTGCTTTTCACCGCTAGCAAGAGTTCTCCGCTGCCTCACCGACGCTTCGGCTGGGCAAATGTAGCTTCTGGAGGCTACTTGTCAAGCCGGTGTTCTCATTTGCGGCGTGTGTCTCTGAAAAGAGCTGGCTCTCTTTCCGGGCGAGTTTGATGGCACCGTTAGAAAATGATATTCTGCAAGCCACTTCCTTTTGGTCTGTGCTCATTGCTGCTGTTCTTCGTGCAGTGTCCTGCTCTTGGGGAAGAAAGAGCAGCCGAGGTTGTTAAGCGCAAGCCACGGTTGTGAGCGTGGTTGCTTACACTGTTGAAAGTTAATTGGAGGTAACCGTGTTCTTCCCAATTTGTCACTCGATTTTGTTTGAGTGGTTTAATGGGCTGCCTGCTTGTTGACTGTCATTCATCTGTGAAATACTCACACATGCACACGTGTAGATATGTGTGTGTATTGGGTTGCAGACAAAAAAGTTGCCACTGTTTTCTTTGTGCTCACTTCGAACTGGTAATGAACCTGTCTTTAATTTGTTCCAAGGTTCCTAGTTTAGCCTATCCAGAAACTTTTTATTTCAAGTAAGCATGAAATCACAATTTCTTAAAAGAAATAGGTTTGAAGGATAGGTGTGCAGACATTGTAGCACTGAAAATACTTTGGAAGGAGCCTGGGTTTTACATTGTTCTGACAATTACCCTGAAATCAAATATGATTATCTAGGTTAGTGTAAGTTTGCTCTGGCTTTCCCCAAAATTAATCCTATTAAAATAATACCTGGCTTTTCCCCTCCCCTTTCTGCCCAGCCTGGAACTACATAAGCAAATTGTCCTGCTTTAGAAGGTTTTGTACTGTGAGGGAGTGCTTTCCATCAGTATCAGTTGAACAGAACAAGATTTACTGGTAAAATTAAGTTTTGATGGTATTCTGGCTTTTGGCTGAATAAATGTCATTATAATGTTAATTAATATATTAAAAAAAAGTCTATGAAAGGAAAGCTCGTTCAAGGCTATTTTCAATTAGGAAGTGATTGAAAGTGCTTTGGAAGTGATTTCTTGTGATGGTCTCAGGTGCCTGTTACATTTTTAAAGAAGCCCAAGGTACAGGGAAAGAGATGACTGGCAGACTAGGCAGAGAAATAACAGTAATCTTTTCTCCTTTGCAGGTGAAAAATTGGAGGAGTTTCTTCGCTCACTGAACAGCAGTAAACCTCTGTATTTGGGACAGACTGGTCTGGGTAATATTGAAGAACTTGGAAAACTAGGGCTGGAGCCTGGAGAGAATTTCTGCATGGGAGGGCCAGGAATGATCTTCAGCCGGGAGGTTCTCAGGAGGATGGTGCCACATATAGGTGAATGCCTTCGAGAAATGTACACTACTCATGAGGATGTGGAGGTGGGCAGGTGTGTCAGAAGGTTTGGAGGAACTCAGTGTGTTTGGTCATATGAGGTAAGTGACAGTGTAAATTACAACGTGCTGTTTGTTTACAGAGTTTTACATTTTGCAAATTACGTAGATATATCTACAGTCTCTTTGCACCATAATTATGTTTTAATGCATTCATCAGAATGTAAACTGCAGAGTGTAAGGAAGAGAGGAAAACATTCACAGCATGTTGCTGCGAGCGTGTTTATTTCTACTTGTGTCTCTTGATTTGCATTGGTGACAATTACTGCAGCCATGTTGTAAGTAATTCTGTGCAATTAATTGCTAAAGTACTACCTTGCAGGTTTCTACATATAATTCTTGACAGGATGCTGCTGTATTTGATGTTTTCAGATAAGCATGTGGTGTATCTAGAAATTTGTTCTGCATCTCAGGTTCTTAAAATAAGTTGTGGTATTTGAAGAATAATTGTCTTTATTTTCTGTATTACTCAGATATATTTTAATGGAGTTCATTAGTGGCAAAAGCAGAAATAGGACATAGGGTTGGGTTTTTTTTTTTTGTTGTAGAGAAAATGAAGTTTGTTACAGTGCCTGTGTCAATGATACACTTTTAATAGTGTTTTTGTTAGTGTAAAACAATTTTAAAATCTATTAAGGACACGCACAGTGTAACAAACCTTCCTATGCTGAAGTCATTTTAGGAGCAAATGACTTTGTACTGCAGTAGCATTTTCTAAAGTAAAAAGATGTGTTGCAGTAACCAAAAAGTTTGTTTGCAACACCATAAGTAAAATGAAATGAAATGATAAAATTTTCGATTCTCGCTGAAGCAAGGCGGGGGGCCAGCAGGACCGCCACCCTGGACTTCCGAAGGGCAGACTTTGGCCTCTTCAGGAGCATGGTTGGGGGTGTCCCTTGGGAGATGGTCCTTGAGGGCAAGGGTGCCCAGGAAAGCTGGTCATTCTTCAAGGAGGCACTCTTAAAGGCGCAAGATAAAGCTATTCCCAAGTCCCAAAAATCAAGCAGGAAGGGAAGAAGACCAGCCTGGCTAAATAGAGAGCTTCGGCTGGAACTCAGGAACAAAAAGAAGGCTTATAATCTTTGGAAAAAGGGCCTGGCAGATAAGGAGAAATACCAGGAAGCGGTGAGGATATGCAGGGGGAAAATTAGAAGGGCCAAGGCTCAAGTGGAGCTCATCTTGGCCACCAATGTTAACAATAACAAAAAGGGTTTTTTTCAGTATGTTAACAGTAAGAGAAAGGTTAGGGATAATGTGGGCCCACTGATGGATGAGGTGGGCACCCTAGTAGTGGAAGACACGGAGAAAGCAGAGTTGCTGAATGCCTTCTTTTCTTCAGTCTTCACTGTTAGGACTGCCCCTCATGAATCTGTGGCCTTAGAGGCAAGGGGGATGGTATGGAGAGAGGAAATTTTTCCTCTAGTAGAGGAGGGCCAGGTTCGGGACCACTTGGCCAAACTGGACATTCATAAGTCCATGGGCCCTGATGGGTTGCACCCACGAGTGCTGAGGGAGCTGGCAGACGTTATTGCTAGACCACTCTCTATCATCTTTGAGAAGTCGTGGAGAACAGGAGAGGTGCCTGAGGACTGGAGGAAGGCCAACATCACTCCAGTCTTCAAAAAGGGCAAGAAGGAGGACCCTGGGAACTACAGACCAGTTAGTCTCACCTCTGTCCCTGGGAAGGTGATGGAGAGACTCATACTAGATGTCATCTCCAAACAAGTTGAAGAGTGGGGGGTTATTGGAAGTGGGCAACACGGGTTTACCAAGGGTAAATCATGTATGACCAATCTGATAGCCTTCTATGATGCCATAACCGGTTGGTTGGATGAGGGGAGGGCAGCAGATGTCATCTACCTTGACTTCAGCAAGGCTTTTGACACTGTCTCCCATAACATCCTCATTGGGAAACTGAGGCAGTATGGGCTGGATGAGGGGACAGTGAGGTGGATTGAGAACTGGCTGTGTGACAGGACCCAAAGGGTAATTATTAATGGAGCAGGTTCAAGTTGGAAGCCTGTAACCAGTGGAGTCCCCCAGGGGTCAATACTTGGACCCGTGCTGTTTAATATATTCATCAGTGACCTGGACGAGGGGACAGAGTGTATCCTCAGCAAGTTTGCTGATGATACCAAACTGGGAGGAGTGGCTGACACCCCGGAGGGCTGTGCTGCCATCCAGCGAGACTTGGACAGGCTGGAGGGCTGGGCAAAGAAGAACCTCATGAGGTTCAACAGGGAAAAGTGTAGGGTCCTGCACCTGGGGAAGAAGAATGTCAGGCACCAATACAGGTTAGGGGTGGACCCGCTAGAGGCAACTACTGAAGAGAAAGATCTAGGGGTCCTGGTGGACAGTAAAATGGCAATGAGTAAACAGTGTGCTCTTGCGGCCAGGAAGGCCAATGGTATCTTGGGTTGTATAGGGAAGAGTGTAGCCAGCAGGTCAAGGGAAGTCATTCTCCCCCTCTACTCTGCACTGGTGAGGCCACAACTGGAGTACTGTGTCCAGTTCTGGGCTCCCCAGTTCAAGAGGGACAGGGAACTACTAGAAAGAGTCCAGCGAAGAGCAACAAAGATGATTCAAGGATTGGAGCATCTCCCTTATGAGGAGAGACTGAGAGAGCTGGGACTCTTTAGTCTGGAGAAGAGAAGGCTGAGGGGAGACCTTATCAATGCCTACAAGTATCTCAAGGGTGGGTTGAAGGAGGAGGGAGCCAGACTCTTTTCAGTGGTTCCCAGTGAGAGGACGAGGGGCAACGGGCACAAGTTGGAACATAAGAGGTTCCACTCAAATATGAGGAGAAACTTCTTCACAGTGAGGGTGACAGAGCCCTGGAACAGGCTGCCCAGGGAGGTTGTGGAGTCCCCTTCTTTGGAGATTTTCAAAACCCACCTGGATGCAGTCCTGAGTAACATGTTCTGACAAGCTCTAGGCAATCCTGCTTCAGCAGGGGAGTTGGACTAGATGATCTCTATGGTCCCTTCCAACTCTAAAATTCAGTGAAAAATTCAGTGAAATTCAGACTGATTTCTCTGGAAATACTGTGGTTATTGGCAAGACTGTCTTTGTAGATAAAAATAGATACTAGCTTTGTAGGTAAAAAGCATGCAACTGCCCAAAAGGGTAAAGGATGATAGCTAATATGATGAGTATGATTTTAGTTATTTTGACTGGTTCTTTAATATTTATATATGCTTGGCCTTGTTCCACTCCTGTGCTAAGCAGGAAAACTAATTTAAATGGGCTACTGAAAAATGTTATGTGCTATTAATGACAAAAAGACAGGAAAAAAAAATTGTGGAAAAGTGGTTTTCTGAATGGCCTGGGGAAAGATGGCCATTTTGAAAACGGCTTTGTTAGGCTATAGTGCATGTAAACAGGTAAGCAAAAGTAAATTTTTAACTAGTTGATACTAACTGGGTAGAAATCTTCGAGGTGGAAATCCTATCCTTTACTTTACAATATAAAGGTGCTTTTAGAGACTATTTCAATAAATATTGTAAATGTAAAATAATGCACCTGTTGCACTAGTAGAGCAGGAAAGGCATTTATTGTACAGGTGGATATCGATGGAGGACTGGTGGTTCTTAATCAGAGTTCCAAACAGCATGCTACGTTGGCAGCTTAATCTTACAATCTGATGTGTTTAGGCTATGTCTGTACAAGGTTGTTGTTAAATCCTTATGGGTCTGTGAAGCCTGCTGGTCTGTATTAGATAGCAGAATTATGATTCTGCCTTGACGGTTGTATCTTGGAAGGGGTTTTGTGTTTGTTTTTCTGGTTTATCTTCTTGGGAAGAAATCTGGGGAAGGGAAAAAACCTGGTAATAGATAACATTATCACTATGGTAATAATTTATTTTGATGTTGAATGTCATGAAATTTTGGCTCCAGGCACTGAGCCTAAGTGTGATAGAGTGAAAAAACATATTTGACTTTCGTCAGTTTTGGAAACTGAGCTATATGACTGCCCAGAAGCTCAGCTTTTCGTGCTAGGATTGCGGCCTGGAAACACTAACTTTGTGGAAAAGATGTGTGTCTTGTCGGATCTGGCATAGGGTGAGACCAGTCTTGATTGTCAGTTGCTCTTGTAGTCCTTAGATCTCTATCACAAGAGACGGAAAAGGAATAATATCCATTAGGCATTGCAATAGCAGCTTGCATTTCTGATCAGTGTTTCTGTCTGTCAGAAGAATCCTTGACTCTGTTGCTGGTACAGGAGATGTTCCAGAAGATACAGATGATTAAGACAAAGCTGCTTAGGATGCTGTCCCAGCGTTAAATCTGTGTTGAAGGAAAGGGGTGAAATAGGGTGTCCAGAAAGAGAGAAGTTGCATTTGTGGCATAGTTTGTGCTGTGCAGCCTGTTGTTTCAAGCGGTCCGATACTGCACCTGAACAGTACCTGATGTGTTGTGGGTTGGTAAATTGTGGGTTGGTAAATTAATGGTGACTAGAGTAGCTTTTTTCCTAGGACACTGGAACTTTTGCTGTGTGCTTTTTCATTCCTGCCTTAGATCAGTCATGCCCTTTGTATGCTAGAAGAGGAATTATTATCTCAGATACAAATGTGCAAAATGCAAGATTTGAATCAGGAATTTCTGCATAGCCAGTTGCACTTTTGTCCCGAAGTCCTCTTGTTGTATGTAAGTATTAAACTGAGTCCTATTGTGCTGCAAGATTTTTATGAACTTCACTGCTTTTGGGAAGATGCTTAATTTGTTTCAAATGTGCTACTGAAGACTAATGTAAACTGGAAACCATTCCTTTAAAATAAAATTCATAGAAGCAGAAAAGCTCTAGAAGAGTTGAATCACTGTTCCATCAGTTTTTACTAGATTTCTTTTGTAAGAACTGGAACGTAAGTCTCTTTTTGGTGAGGATGAAAGAAATCAAAGAGATCAAGAGAAAGTCTGAAATGCTTGTCTTTGCTGGGTGTCTCAACTGGTGTGGATATGACTGGCTGCCTGTCAGGGTTTATTCTGCTGCCATTTGGAGTTAGCTGGTAAGCTGTGCTAGTATAAACTAGCACAGTATAAACT